CTAAGGGTTATCCTATATCGAGTTCGAGCAAACCACTCACTCGATCATAAAATGCCTACGGGCTACAATACTTCGAGTTCGAGTTCAAACAATCATTCACTCGACTATCAAGCCTAAAGTCTATCTTACATCGAGTTCGAGCAAACCACTTACTCGATCATAAAAAGCCTATGGGTTGTAACACTCCGAGTTCGAGTTCAAGCGATCACTCACTCAACTATTAAGCCAAAGGGATATCTTATTTCAAGCTCAAAATAATCACTCACTAAATTATTAATCTTAGAGACCAACACAACGAGAGTTTGAGGCTTTGTTCTCACTTAAATCGGACCAAAAGAGTCCCATTACTCCAAAGTTCAAGATAACTCAGCTCAAAGAACCGCCAAAAAACTAGGTTGCAATAACAAAATCTTCACAAAAGCAAAAGTACGTTTAAACATAAAACTGAGAAGGCATCCAAAAGAAGCTCTTTTATTAACAAAAGGGGGTATGTACAAAGAGACCGGTCAAAAGTTCACAAAAATGAAACTAAGTCCTAACTACGGCCGGTGTCAATATCTCCTTTGGGAGCTGCTTCTCCTTCAGGCTCCTCATCGGACCGTCCCCGACTGCCTTTCTCCTCATCGTCTTCGTCGTCGAAGGAAACAAGCTGCCTGGCTTCAACTTCGAGCGCCTTAGCTCGGGCAATCTCCTCGAAAAGTTCAAAACCTCGAGTATGGATTTCCTCAAGGGTTTCCCTTCGGGATTGGCACTTTGCCAAGTCAGTAACCTGTTGCTCTCGGTCAGAAGCCTCCCTTAGCTGTATTTGAGCAGCCTCGGCATCGGCCCGATACACAACGATAGACTTGTCTTCCATGACTTTCGATGACTCAACCTCAGCCTTGGCCTCAACAAGCCCTGTTTCAAGCTCCTCGATCCTCCTGGCCCGAGCTGAACTTTTTTGCTTGACGCCTCGAAGCTGAATATCGGCAGATAATAGTTTGGCCAAGATAGTTTCTTTTTCTGCAGCCAGGCGATCGATAGTCTCCTTCCACCGATCACATTCTGCCTTGATTTGATCGACTTCTCCCCGAAGCAACCTGATCTTTTCAACCTTTTGTTGCAGCTGAGATAACGAAGGGTTAGCTTCCACAGTTGGGTCGAATCCATACTCTAATAGAATGATGCTCACATGTTTATCTAGTTCGGCCTCTTCTTTACGAGCCTTGGCCAAATCTGCTTGGAGGTCCTTTATAATCTCATCCTTTTGGCCGCAAAGAAGCTTCAGAGCTTCTCTCTCCCCCGAGACCTTTTGAAGCCCGACCTCACACTGGCTGAGATCGGCTCAAAACTTGCTAAGGGCCTACACAAAAGGGAAAAAAATGCAAGTCAGGTTTAGAAAAGAACAAAGAAACCAAGCGCAGTAAAATCGTTACCCGAGAAATGAAGCGTTGGGTTTCTTCTAGAAGAATAGAAGCGTCACTAATATCGGAGGCATCATCGACTCCAGTAAAGAAATCCCGAAAAGGATCCCCTACACTAGAGCTTCCGCCCATATCGGGGGTCTTCAATTCTCGAGCTTCCCTTAATGCCTCCTCAGAAAAGGTCGGAAGAGAAGGCAAATGACCCACTATCATGGTCCCAAGCGAATCGCTCGGGATGCTCTGATCGAGCCTCGGGGTATCAGATCCGGCCCCGACCGGTGTAGCCACCATCGGCTCAAAAGGTCTGGCGACCTCGATGGCTTTCGCAGATCGGACCACCAGTGCCAGAGCATCTTCTTCTTCTTCTTCTTCTTCTTCTTCTTCTTCTCTCAGTCGTTGGACCGAGTCCATTGCAAGAGCGATTACCTTCTTCCTCACCCTTCGATTTTTGGGCTTGGGGTCCTCTGACTGAGAGATAGTTTTCCGCTTTTTATCTTTCCCTGGTTTCGGAATCGGGGACTTGGTTCCTTCCTCACCACTCGAAGGCCTCAAAACGGCATCCTTGGTCACGCCTGCATAAAAGGAAGTCAGTAATGAATGGAGCATAGAAAATGTTTCAAAAAAACATGAAAAGGGACCCTTACCGTGACAAATCATGCCAAGCGCGTTCGGCATAAGATGAAGTCGAGGCTAACTTCCAAACTCAATCCTCAAGGTCAGGTACCGCTTGTGGCATCTAAGGTACAACTGTATATCGGAGGGGGATATCAGACAGAATCGGAGAAAGATACGAAAAACAAAGTCTTATAAAAATCACTTACGGTTGAAATTCCATTTCTCGGGGAACGACATCTTCTCTTCGAGGATACGGTCACGGGTCCTCACCCGAATAAAGCGGCCCATCCAACCCCGATCCTTGTCTTCATTGATGCTCGACATTAAAGCTTTCGTTGCCCGGCGGTGGAGCCTGATTAGTCCTCGAAAGATTTGAGGTCGATACAATCATATGAGGTGATTTAGAGTAAAATACAGCCCCCGACCTTGTTGGAGAAGAAGCAAAGTATGATTACTATGCGCCATAGAGAAGGATGAATTTGGCCGAGGGTGACCTGATATCTTTTGTAAAAATCAATGATCACTGGATTGACGGGACCCAACGTGAAGAAGTAAGTATAAACACTTAAAAATCCCTCCACGTGAGTGATTATGCTCTCTTCGGGAGAGGGAATTCGCAGCACAACCTCGGGACCCCAGTTGTAGTCTTTCCTCATGGCCTCGAGATGACCCTCCGTTATCGAGCATATGTACATCGACACATGCTCACATCGGCCCGGAACCGACGAAGGATTTTCAACCTTAAAATCGGTCTTTAGAATACGCGGGCCAGGAACATACTCGTGGGAAGGCGGCTCCGCTGGCGCCTTGTCGCTGGACGGTCGGGAAGAGGAAGCTTTCTCCTTCTGTGGTACGGTTTTTGAGATTTTTTCCATTGGTATAAGTAAAAGAAAAGCAAAGGAAGATAAAAGGATGATGATGTCAAACACTGATGAAGGTGGCTCTACAAGCGGCGAAATAGAGGTGGAAAGAGTAAGAAAATTTGGGGGTTTGATTAGAGTAACAGATTAAGTTTGATTTGGGAACGAGCTATTTATAGGCTAAACAGAGGCGATTCAATCTCACATAATAGCCGACATCGACTGACGTGCATTATATGCCTCGGTAAGCTGAACCGACGGAATAACTACCACGTGCGTCATGGTCGAACTCGATGCTAATGTCAGTATATATCTAATCATACCGTTGGAAATCATGTCGTTTCTCGTCACATCCTTCCCGAGAAATGAGGGGACTATCTGTATATGGTTAAAATCTATTATTCAGTCATACGGACTGGTCGAGATAATAGTACTTCGATCGAAAGTTATCTGCGTAAGGTCAGGTCGAGGTTCGAAGTAAGGGCGTCATGATTCGAGTTCCAAGACCGATCAAGGATCAGCTCGGTATCATTATCGGGCCCATAACCAAATCGAACCACGAGGTAACACGAAGGTTGTCGGAGATGCACAGACCGACCGACACCCACCCCGAATATTAAGACTCCGAGTCAGGATCGAGCTCGAGTCAAGACAGATGACTCGATCCAATATCGAGTTCAAGTCAGTGTCGAGCTTGCAGACAAGGGCTGTTGCAACCGCACTGAGGGAGAGAATCCTGGCAGGAATTACGGAAAAAATAATTCACCATCCACTATATATTTTTTATTGTATATAAAGTAGGTCCCTCTACTATAAAGGGGGATTATTATAAGCATAAGGGACACTCATACATTGTAACAAAAGTCTACTTCTCATATTGAAAGATCAACCTCTTGAACTTGTTTTACTTTACCTCATTTATTCTTCTCACTCACTATTTTATCTCTCACTCCAATAGTCTAGAAGATACGTATTTCTGTTTTTCTGTATGATTTGTGTCAAGTTATATCAGACATCATTAGAATTACATATAAATTTAACTCTATCCGATTTTTCGGGTAAACATCCATCCTTCCCAAAAAGAACGAAAGAGTTAGAATATGAATATCAATCATCTAATGACCCAATGATACTTTTAATAATGTGTGATATTGTTCCTTTGGACCAAGCCCGCACAGTTTTCCCCGACTTTGTTCGCACACCCAACAATCTCTCATTTGAATTAAGTTTTACGTGGCCCACTACCATGATCCATGGGTCTTCCTCTCGAATTAGTTCCATGTGATCCATTACCACGATCAACGGGTCAATTTTCGAGATTCACTGTGTGCCACCATATCGTTAGAGTATTTATGGCAACCGAAGCCCGCAACTAGCTTCTTTTTGTGTGCGCGTCTCCAAGTTCATAAGGATAAGCAAACCGAGCCTCGCACTGTCACTCTGCCATCGTCATACTCGTCCCGTTGAACCTGATACCAGTATTGGGCTAAAACGGCCCAATGATACTCTTAACATTGTGTAATATTATTCTCTTTGGGCCGAGCCCGCATGATTTTCCCTAAAGGGCCTCTCACCGTTAAGAGATCCATGCACCTTATATGTAAGCTCCCAATCTTTCAGCTACTAATGTGGGACTTTTGTTCGCACATCCAACATAATCTTTAGTGTGAATTTCTATATATTTATTTCTTAAATTTTCGAAATGAAATTTAAATGCTTAGAAATTACATCAAAATATACTGCAAATCACAAATTTTAATAGCAAAAGAATGTTTAGGTAATGTAAACAACTTGTAGCAAAAGGAAAAAGTAATTTGACTCTTCAAAAAATGTTAGTCATGGTATGAAACTGGATGCAGAAAGTAGTAGTATAACTTTTAAGTAAAAAGGTAACTGTGGAGATTGGAGAAATAAAAGCTCCTTTTGGTTCACTTAAACTTTTGGTGTAACAAATATCATTCTGTGTTGTATTGACAATTTGTTGAATTTTGTGGAAGTGTGCTGTAAATCCCTACAGTATGAAATTATGTCTAAGTTCTAACACTAGTTAATATTATATAAATGGATTGCCTGGATTCACTTAAAACTTTTTATCATATTTTGTTGTAATGCAATATTTCAGGTACTCAGAGACTTCCACGCCTTGTCGGACTTGCTAAGTCCCTCGAAATGTTGCTAGTAAGATCCAAATTCACCTTGAGATTTCAGTGTTGGCACAACAGTAAGAAACAAACTGGTTCTTGTTGATCCAAATTCAACTTTTTTGTCTCACACATTATGCAGACAGCAAAACTTGTTAAAGGGGAGGAAGCTCTGGACCTTGGCCTTGTTGATGCTATAGTTTCATCACACCAATTACTGGATACTGCTCGTAAATGGGCACTCGATATTTGGGAGCGCAAAAGACCTTGGATTCCCACTCTTCACAGAAATGATAAGATAGAGTCTATTGGCGAGGCAAAGGAAATGCTAAAGTTTGCTAGAGCTCAGGCCATCAAACAGGCTCCAAATATTTATCATCCTTTAGCCTACATTGATGTTATTGAAGAAGGCGTAGTGTCCGGTCCACGTGCTGGACTTATCAAGGTTCAATTCTGAATCCGCCTCTACTTTTTTAATCTGTAAAATCCATTGTCACAATGTGAACACAACTCTGCTATTACAGGAGTATGAAACATTCGAAGTTCTTCTTCGTTCAGACACTTGTAAGGCCTTAGTCCACATTTTCTTTGCCCAGCGTGGAACGACTAAGGTGAATGAAGTAAAATTATTTTAGACAGATAGAACTACAAGATTTTGTATTAAAGTTATGAACTTATTTGATCTTTTCTTTTCACACAAACAGGTTCCAGGGGTGACTGATATGGGGTTAGTGCCACGACAAGTTAAGAAGGTTGCGATTGTTGGAGGTGGATTAATGGGTTCTGGAATTGCAACTGCATTACTTCTTAGTAATTATCCTGTGATCTTAAAAGAAGTTAATGACAAATTTCTAGAGGCTGGGATTGATAGAGTAAAAGGTAATAAGGTCATTCTTTTGCTGTCATACTACTTTTAACTTATCACACTTGATATGATTATGTGACTAATACATTATTTAATCACTCAGCAAATCTGCAACGCCGCGTCAATAAAGGAAAATTGAGTGAAGACAAGTTTGAAAAAGCTCTCTCCCTATTCAAGGGTACTCTTGATTATGAAAGCTTTAGAGATGTTGACATGGTCATTGAGGTATCATCTATATTCTGATCAGTTTTGTAAATCCTCTATTTTTTCTAACTCATATGTTATAGTCGCTTTCTATTAATATGTGTAATAGGCTGTCACTGAAGACGTACCTTTAAAGCAGCAAATATTTATTGATCTAGAGAAGTTTTGCTCTCAACATTGTATACTTGCTAGTAATACCTCTACAATTGACTTGAATTTGATTGGGGAAAAGACCAAATCTCAAGATCGTATTATTGGCGCTCACTTTTTCAGGTGATATCTGTTGGAAATGTTATAACAGTTTTCTTGTACTTTCCTTTTTTGTTCTATTTATTGATTATTGTAATCTGGTGCAGTCCGGCTCATGTGATGCCACTTATGGAAATTGTTCGCACTCAACAGACATCTCCACAAGTAATAGTAGACTTGCTTGATGTTGGAAAGAAGATAAAGAAAACCCCTGTAGTAGTAAGGAATTGCACTGGTTTTGCTGTCAACAGGATGTTCTTTCCTTATACCCAAGCTGCTCTTTTGCTTGTTGAACATGGAACTGATATATATTGCATTGATAGAGCTTTTACTAAATTTGGAATGCCTATGGGTCCCTTCAGGTAAAATATCAGAGAAGTTTTATTTGTCAAATAAGTGTGCCTTTGCTACAATGACCACTGAGCTAAACCAACTCAAACACACTCTTAACATGGTATAATACTGTCTAGTTTGAGCTAAGTTGCACAGGTTTCCCGAAACGGCTCATACTATTAAGAGTATCTGTACGCTTTATATGTGACTTTTTTTTCTTTTCAACTTCTAATGTGACACTTTGTTCATACGCCGAACAATGACTTAGTTTGATTTCCTACATGCAGACTGTGTGATCTTATTGGTATTAGTGTTGCAATGGAGAGTATGCCCGATAGAACTTACAAGTCCATGCTTATTCCGCTTTTGCAGGGAAATAAAAGATTAGGTATAGTTCTCTACTTTGAGATGTTAGGTGTATTACAAAAGACAGTTGCAAATGTTTCTATGAGTTACTACTGATATTTTGAGAACATGAACCTTCTGAATGAGATTGACACACTTATTGTAGGCGAAACGACTCAGAGAGGGTTCTATATATACGATAAAAGACGCAAAGCCAAACCTGATCCAGAAATTAAGAAATACATTGAGAAGGCAAGAGAGAATTCTGGTGTCAACATTGACCCTAAGGTTTCTCTTTCTCCTCTGTCCACTTCCTCTGTTGATATTAAAAAGTACTAGTAATTGAAATCGTTCCTGTTTTAACCTGTCAAGCTCTTACACCTAAGTGATTTGGACTTGATTTAGTTGGAAAAACTCTCGGACAAGGATATCGTCGAAATGATATTATTCCCTGTAGTAAATGAAGCATGCAGATTACTTGCCAAAGGCATTGTTGTCAAAGCTTCTGATCTTGACATTGCTTCTGTCATGGGCACAGGGTTCCCTCCTTACAGGTCTGTGCATTTATCATATTGAATGTGTGTGTATGTCCGCACAACATAAATTTATGTGTAAAAATTTACTAAAATTACAACAACTAGCAGATATGAACTCATAATTTTAAAGATACAATGGTAAGAGCCTAAAAGGCTGAAGCCATAGAGTCTAAATCTTGGATTAGAGAATAATGAGACTAAAATAGTGATGAAAAAAAATTCTAAATAGTAATGAAGATCTGATTGAATACTTGTTGGCCAGGGGAGGGATCATATACTGGGCAGATACTCTTGGATCCAAATACATTTGTTCAAGATTGGATGATTGGGCAAGAATGTATGGAAACTTTTTCAATCCTTGTGCCTACCTTGCTGATAAAGCTGCTAGTGGGGTTCCTCTGGTGAGTACCTTGGGATTTATTATGTTGTTTTTTCTTAATTTAAGTACACCATTTTATAGCCTGATTATCTATCCTGAATACCTTCCACCCCTTATCCTTCTCTTTTCTGTAATATGCATTGGATTTTAACTTTAGTACACGAGACTGTACTGGGTACAATTTTTACAAAATCTGGCCATTTAACCATGAGATTAGTTGCCTACCACGACAATATTAAAATGCACTGATAGTGTAAGAATTTTAAATAATATCAGTGTATATAAGTTAAATCCTTATGCAATGTTGTTAATATTAAATTTCGTTGTGGTCATTGCAGAGTGTAACTATGGATCCTACAAAGTCACGCCTATAAAGATCAGTGATGCTAGCTTTTGAGCATTCTTCAATTTACTGTGGTGTGTTGGATGGATTTATGATTATGCATGTGGTTAATAATGTGTGAATGGAGAAGGAATATAGATTACTTATGTAACTTAAAACTTAACCATCCCAGAACAATGTGAGAATTTCTTTAGCTGTCTGTTAAGTGATTTGATAATGGAAAACAAATACTCCAACTTATATATGTGTAAAGGCTGTATAGGTTCCAATTTGGGTTCTTTGGTAGTCTCTTCTCAAAGGCATTACCTCCTTGTTTTCACAATTTAATCTAAAATAATGGCGTGAAGCACTTCACGGTTTACCTATTAAATTAATTTCGAAGCAGTTCCTATCCCACATCGGCTAATCATCATAACATCTATCCATTCATCTTAGCTTTAGAAGAGCAGTCTCATCGCCGAGCTCAGTCACGAGAGCTTGTAACCCATGTGGGGGCATTAATGTGGTGGAATGTTGGGCCTCTCCAAAAGGCAGGACTTGAGTAGCTAGTTTCCGGCCTGCCCTCTCCAAGCATAGAGTTGGGCCACGTAGTCCATGCGAAGGCTTGGGTTGCTTGGCTTCTATAGCGGGGCAAACCGCGTGAGGCTGGTTTCACAGAGCAACGAACAACTCCCGCTTTGTGCAGTGGAAGGATAACGGGTAGGTGCTACTCAGGCCTAACAAATGTCTGATGGGCTGCTCTAATCAAACCACCACTTTTTTTTTTTATACAAATGGACATGGTCAGTATTTTTCAATAAGAAAATTAACCTTAACATTTATTTCAGGATGATAAAAAAGGTGAAATATTTCATCTTTCTTCATTAGCATTTGAACAAAGTTATCCATAATTTAGGTAAAATATTTCATCTTTCTTCATTAACATAAAGAACTCAACATTTGCTTTAAGGTGACTAGAGAGACAAATTTTAAATTATACTAATATGTGTATATTGTAAATTTCAGATCGAAATATACCCTATATCATGAATTTGCCTAAGTCATTTTACTTATATAAAACACGTGTGAACGATTGATTGAACCACGGAAGGAATCTAATGAAGACATGAATCTAACTAGTTTATTTGTTTATATGTTGGTGAAAATATGTCTGAAATTTCCCTAATTAGCTTTTTGTAACGATCCGATCGGTCATTTTGAACTTTAGTGCGTCGTTCGATGATTTGAGGCCTTGAGTAGATCCACTTCGGGTATTATGACTTGTACGTGTGGTCGGAATTGAACTTCGAGAAGTTCAGAGTTGATTTGGAAAGAAAATTCTAACTTCGGATGGTTTAAGTTGGAAGAATTGGCTAAGGTTTGACTTTTTAAGTAAACAACCTCAGAATCAGGATTTAAAGGTTCCAATAGGTTCGTATAATGATTTCGGACTTAGGTGTCTGTTCGGGTTGAGTATCGGATCACCCGGAAGCATTTCGGCGTTTATTATAGAAAGTTAACATTTTGAAAGTTTAAGAACTTCATAAGTTTGGTTTGAAGTGAATTTTTATATTATTGATGTCTGTTTTGGGTTCTGAGCCTTGGAGTAGCTTCGTCATGTCAATTATGACTTGTGTGCAAAATTTGAGGTCAATCGTACTTGATTTGATAGGTTTCGGGGTCGTTTGTAGAATTTTGAAGTTCTAAAGTTCATTAAGCTTGAATTGTGGTGCAATTCATGGTTTTAGCGTTGTTTGATGTAATTTGAATGCTCTACTAAGTTCATATTGTATTTTGGGACGTGTTGGTATATTTGGTTAAGGTCCCAAGGGTCTCGGGTGAATTCCGGATGGTTAACAGATCGGATTTTGACTTAAGGAAAAGCTGGAAAATTCTAGTTGTTGGTACAACCGCTTCTGCGAAGTCTTGGTCGCAGAAGCGACCTCGCAGAAGTGACCTCACAGAAGCAAGATTATCGTCGCAGAAGCGACTGAAGAGGGAGCTGGGTAGAGGTTGGCAGTGGTCGCAGGTGCGAAGAATTTCCCGCACATGCGTGATCGCAGAAGCGGGTGGAGGAGGCACAAAAGCGGACATCAGCGCAACTCTAGCCACACCTGCGGTTCCGCAGAAGCGGAGCCAGTGTCCGCAGGTGTGAGTCTTCAGCTGACAGTGGTCATTCGCAGAAGCGAGGTTGGTCTCGCAAAAGCGAGCTCGCAGGTGCGATAATTTGGCCCGAAGGTGCGAAAATCGTTGGGCAGTGGGGGTATTTTTAATACGAGACTTAGCCCATTTCTTTCACATTTTTTATTTGGTTGGGCGATTTTTGAAGTTTTGGAGGGAAGCTTTTCATCATTTATGTCAAGGTAAGTAGTTCCCGCATATTGTGAGTTAAATACAAGGTTTATATATGGATTTAAACATGAAAATTAGTAGAAATTTAGAATTTTAGTAGAAAACCTGAAAATTGGTATTTTTGAAATTTGACCACGAAATTGGATATGAAATAAAGAATAAATTATATATTTGAGTTCGTGGTGTTATGGGTGAGGTTTATCTTCAAGAAAATTTTGGAATACGGGCGCGTGGGCTCGAGGGTTGATTTTATCGACTATTTGAGCGGAGTTAAAAATTATTTAAATTGATTAATTATGGGTATTAGAATATATTTTGATTGGTTTGCACATTGTTTGACTAGTTTTGGATCGACGGACTTTGGCTTGAGGTGTTAGAGAGGCTTTGGAGCCGGTTATAGAACTTCGGAGCGAGGTAAGTCTCCTGTCTAACCTTGTGAGGGGGAAACTATCCCTAGGTGATATTTATTGTTATGTGCAACTAGTTGTGGGTGCTACGTATGCGCGAGGTGACGAGAGTCCATACGTAGCTAAAGCATGTTTATGTCCGGGTAGACTTAGGATCTTATCATGGAATGTTTGGATTACTTGAACTTATTTTGTTGGCTTAATTAATTGCAATTATAATTAAAATTGATTTAGAAGTAAATATATGTACACTAGGCTAAGCCTTAACACTTTGAGTTGTGGGCGAGTTATTTGAGAAATGGTAAAGATTAAATTCATTTTGTGCTCATGTACTGTATTGTAAACACGTGCCTCATAATTTGGTAATTTCCTTTCTTTTCTTATGGAGCGGGCCGAACGCCTCGGCAGTATATAGATGCATCTATGGATCGTGCTGCATATCTCTCAGAAGTGTACACGTTATTCTGGATCGGGCCGAACGACCTCGGCAGTATCGTGCGTTATATCGCTAGTAGCCCGAATATTTACGAGCTAACCTTCCACCGATGCACATCAATTTATAGCATATCTTATGTATTTGGTATTGACACTTGGCATGTTCTGAGAATACAAGATTGAGAAAATTTATGCTTTAAAGGGAACAAATTGGAAAAGATTTATGGGATTATAGATTTACTTCACTATAGCTGTACACTTCATATTTGTTATGAATTTATTATGTTATTTATTTGGACTTCTAGTAAGTGTCGACGTCGACCCCTCGTCAATACTTTTCCGGAGTTAGGCTAGATACTTACTGGGTACACGTTGATTTACGTACTCATGCGGCACTTCTGCACTAAATGTGCAGGATCTAACAGGTTCCTTGATGATCACCTTGGCGTGTAGGTGCACCTGTTGAGGAGACTTAATGTGAGCTGCATTCCAGGCTATGCATCGCAGTCCACCGAGTCTCCATTGTACTATTTATTTTATTCCGTCCTATTACATTCGGGACAGATGTTGTATTATTAATATATTCCTTAGAAAATGCTTATGCACTTGTGACACCGGGTTTTGGGGGTTCCTTTAGGTTATTCATTATTGTGGTTCGTGTAAATATTTTCATTTACTCTGTAAATTCTATTTTATACTGTTCAATTAAGGAAAAATTATGATTTCAAAACACTAAAATGAATAATTGAATTAATAAATCACTGTTGGCTTGCCTGACGACGGTGTTAGGCGCCATCACGACCTATAGTAGATTTTGGGTCGTGATAACTTGGTATCAGAGCGTTAGGCTCACTTAAGTTTCACGAGTCATGAGAAAATCTAGTAGAGTCTTGCGGATCGGTATAGAGACATATGTACTTATCTTAGAGAGGCTATAGGGCTGTTAGGAGCACTTCCCTTCTCAATTTCCTCATCGTGCGATTTGATACAATTGAGGCTTGTGCTTTTATTTCCTTCCTACTTAATCTTATGCGACGCGAAATGCTTGTTATCAATTGGGCGTCGAGGATTTGTAGTGGTACTACAGACGTGGTACAGGATATTATTTCCTGTATGTTTGGGCACACTATTATCGTCGCCTTGCGAAAGGGCATTCTATCGTTTCAGTTCAATATCTGTACATCCTATGGTTTTGAGGCTATGCTCAAATCAAACCACCGTTTTTTTTTTATACAAATGGGCATGGTCCATTCATTTGAGTTTTGGCATTTCTGTTGGATCTTGATTCTCATATTCTTCCTTTTTTTAAAGATTTACCAAGAAAAATTAGCTTGACATTGATTTCAATGGAATTTCTGTTTGTTCTTCTTTCTCAATATTTTTCTTTATTTTACAATAAGAAAATTAAGCTTAACATTTATTTCAAGATGATAAAAATGGTCAAATATTTCATCTTTCTTCATTAGTATTTGAACAAAGTTATCCATAATTTAGGTATTTATAGTTTTCAAGGATAATTATTGCTAAGGGCAAAAAAGAAAAAAGATAATTAATTTTGTCTTTAACTTCTAAAGTGACAAATAATTTGAGATAACTAATTTTATTAATCACGACTGGTAATATGAGACGGAGGGAGTAATGGTTAAGGCAGCAAAGAAAATTAATATTGCAACAGAAATACTTTCGAGGATGATTTCTTCCCTTACTTTTTCTTTTTATTAAAAGGTGAAAACATGATTAAGGGATGACTATTTATTCGTGTAAAGTTTAGCATAAGAAACTCAACATTTGCTTTAAGGTGACAAGAGAGACAAATTTTTAATTATACTAATATGTATATATTGGAAATTTCAGATCGAAATATACCCTATATCATGAATTTGCCTAAGTCATTTTACTTATATAAAATACGTGTGAACGATTGATTGAATCACGAAAGGAATCGAATGAAGACATGAATCTAGCTAGTTTATTTGTTTATCTGTTGGTGAAAATATGTCTGAAATTTTCCTAATTAGCTTTTGTCTACACAATTTCATCCACACAAAAAATAATGGCAGAAGCAATTCACTGTTTACCTATTAAATTAATTTCGAAACTGTTTC